GGCGCGACGCCGTCTCGGCGCTTGAGGCGTGGCGGCGCTCGATGTAGGCCCGGCGGGCCCGATCCTGTTGGCGGCGCTCCTCTCGTCGTCTCTGCGCTTCGTTTCTCCTGAAACAGCGGCGCTGGTACTCGGGGCAACCCTTGTACCTGGCGCCGTGGTGGTCTGCGCTACAGTTTGCGCAGCGCCGCGACTCCACGGGCGGGTTGTCCCCAAAGGGGCACACCGCCGCGTCGTGCGCAGCGCCGCACTTCCCACAGCGCGGGTGGCGTGCGCAGTTCCGCTGCACGTGACCGAAGTCAAGGCAGTTCCGGCACTGCACGGGTCCTGTTGGCGGCCGATATCGCTCCACCGAGATCCGTAGTCCCTGCAGCTCTCGCAGCGCGAAGATTCTGCGCTGGTCCGAAAATTGAACGGAGACCGCCCGAGGGCGGCGATTAATGCTTGCGAGTCTGTCTCTAGCGGAATGCCGCGGATAATCACCCGCAGCTTCCGCGCATCACCGATGGAATACGTATGGTATTCCATCGTTCTATCCCTCAGCAGGGCAACGGAGGCCGTGTAATCCTCAATTGTGGCCGTACGGAGGCGTACGTCTTCTCCTGTCGCTTTCGCAGCGACCGGATCCCCGCATACACCCCGCAGCGCCTCCAGGAGGGAGAACACGTCTCCGCTCCCGAACACGTGGATAGGGGGTGGGCGTCGTTGGCGGCGGACGAGCGTGAAACCGTCTTGGTCCTCTTCTTGGCTCGCTGCTGCGGCGTCCGACGTCGAAGCCGGTGGTCCGCTCCTAGCGGCGGTGGCTGCCGTCGGCGGCAATGCGGCCGCCGATTGTTGGGGCGCGAAAGGGCCGCTCCCATCGTTCGACTTGCGGGCAGAAGCAGAAACAACGCGCAGGTTGTTACAAATTCTTTCAGTTGACGGGGTAGCCATGCGCAAGCGCTTTGGCGCCCCCGCGTGGCGACGCGCCCCGCGCCAGCGGCTGCCGCTTTCGCCCTCCGGCGGAGTTTGAAACGCGGCGCCCGGTGACGCAGCGCTCGCCTCACTCGGCTAGGCTGGTTTGCTCTAAAGTCCTAAAAAGGACTGTTGTTCCCTCGCTGTCCGGAACTCTTCTCAGGAGTGGGCGTCCTCTTCGGTGGTCAGCTTCGGAATCCAATACCGCCGGGGCTGGCCGCACGCCGCCTGACCTGGTCGTGCCCCCGCGCCGACAGAGGGCCCACAACCAACGGGTGGGTGACGCAACGGCTAAGAAGGGGAAGGGGGGGGCGAGATGTTTTCGTAAATTTCACTTTACGACGCTCCTATTCGTCCGATTTGCATGATTGTCACGGCGTTGGATTCAGGAAGCATGTCGCCATCGCGCTATAAGCCCACATTTTTAAATTTTTTCTCGGAAGTTTGAGAACTAATTTCAAATTCGAGTTTTTGCTAGATTTTTGGAAAAAGGGCTTCGTAGCGTAAATTCTATTTTAAAATGGCGTCAAATGCCGTTTACAGATCGAAAATCGGACCATTGGTTCAGACGTTATCGGTAAAGTAATTTGTACTTATTTTGGTGCTGCCACGTGGTGGCCACAAATTGTGCTAGGGTCGGGACATTTAGCCTTAAGTATATATTTATGAATGAATTAAACTTATCATTTGTATCAGTTGCCTTATATACTTCATTCCAAATTTCGAATCTGAGTAAGTTTTGAAATTTTACTATGTTTCCTTGGGAATATTTACGGATTTCTTTGTAAGTTGTCTGTCCCGCATTTTTTGTTTCTGTTTGGAATGTTAGAATTTGGGCAGTGTGGTCACTGAAACTTGTATTAAATGTAGCAACAGAAAAACAATTGTAATTTGCATCTATTGTTATTTTATCTATATCAGTGCTACTATTTTTGGATATTCGTGTTGGTGTATTTATGGTTGTTTGTAAATAGTATGATTTTAGTAGGTCTTTAAATAGATTTTCATTACTGGATTGTGTGAGGCAATTTATATTGAAGTCACCGCAAAGAATAATTTTATACTGTTGGCGTTTTTGAAGTTTTGTTAGAACTTCCAGATTTTTTAAAAAGATTTTCAAGTTCCCAGCAGGGTTGCGATATGTGCATAAGACCCATGTTTTTATTGTTAAGTCAGTGATGGATATTTCAAAGTCTTTCTCTTTTACAAGATGAGTGTGATTGGTGTAGGGTACAAAACTATGGTATCTTTAATAAAAATGCATGTCTCACCATATGCATGATGTGCGTTGTTAATATTTCAACATTAGCTGCTGGCTAGAGAGAAACCTGGTATATATGTGTTATCTAATTGTTCTTAAGTTAGCCAGTGCTCTGTGAAGCACAATACTGAAATGTGGTTGAGTTTCTCCTCAAGTAATATTTCTATATCAGTGAATTTATTTTTCAGTGTCTGTACATTTTGGTGAAGAATGTGAAAATAGTTTTTATTTTTGTGTATTGTCTGCTTTCCTGCTGATGTTTGATGCTACAGGTTATACATAGGAGTGGGTTTTCAGTTGCAATGGAAGTTATATGTATGGATGGGACGGGGAGTAGGAAGTGTGGAAGTAGGTGAAAGGGCTGAAGAGGAGAACGGATGGGACGGGGAGTAGGAAGTGTGGAAATAGGTGAAGGGGCTGAAGAGGAGAAGAAAGGTGAGGAGGTGGTTGTAAGAAATGGAGTGGGCAGGAGAGGTGTAGGAGTAGGAGAAGGAACTGGTGGGGATAAGAGAGGACTGGATGGTGGTGAAAGATGCGGAGTGTGTAAGAGGGTTGTGAATGGGGAGGCGGAAGAATGGGTAGGAGATGGATGTGGGGTGGCAGGGGCAGGGGTTACCAGTAGGTGCGAGATTGAGCATGGCTCCTAGTTTTTGTTTACCTATCTGGTTCATGGAGACCATGCCCAGTAAAATGTTTTCTTGAGAGGTTGTCAAGATCAACAAGTGTGATGGGTATCCCTCTCAAGTGCTGTCTATAAGACATGGTTTGCAACCTTAATTTTATGGTTTATAGGAATGTTGTTGTTCCAGGGGGGCAGAGAGGTCACGATTACATTTGTGTGTTTGGCAGTCTCTTGTATTTTTGTTAAATGTTCCTCTGCATGAACGTGACTGCCAGAATTAATGTTGTTTTGCCCACCTATAATTACTACGGTGTCCTGTTGTGTAAAAGATCTAGTCTGAGTGTTTAAGTTCTCAATTATGTGTGCCATCGTTGCATTAGGCTTAAAAATACCTGTAATTGAGAACTTTGATGGGAGTTTCTCTCTCACAATGGAGGAAAGGTTCCTACCATGGCTGTCAGCTAGAAGCAAAAGGGGTGGAGCATGCCCCCTCCCCTCTTCGATCCTCCACTGCGAGTACATCAGTATCATGTGCAAGTGCTTGAGTTACGCATTTCAATTTGTTTTGATAAAATATACGTCATTTTTCTTTGCTTTAGGGCATTTTAAAAACATTTTAAGACTTTTTATTGATCATTTTGGTGATGTTTTTGGTCATTAAAATCCGCCCCTACTCATATTTCCTTATCCTAGGAATACTATATAAATGCCACACTGTGAGTTGCGTGTGATCAATAAATAAAGATAAGTTTTTTTTTGTTGTTGTTGTTTTTTTTATTCAAAATGTTTTGGTGAATGTGTCGTATTACAGATAATGTACGCAGGCTAAAATCGGCTTGTGCTGCGATACGATTTTATTCGTTTTAATAGTTATCTGAATATATTTTTGCTTGAAACTTTTGTGCAAGTTATAGTTAATGGTTACCGAATTTTTTTCGGGGGGGAGGGAATGCCCGTCATTTCCCCACCTTGGAACCGTGCCTGCTTCAATGTCAGTGCTGAATGGCATTTCTTCGCTTTGCAAAGTCTTCAGATAAAGGACCTTGTGGCGGAGTCGGGGTGGGTCGAGGGTTGAGGAGCAACTATAATATTCCCAATAAAAACTAGCTGTCAAGCCTGACAGGAAACTATTAATATTTATCCAGGAAGTTATTTAAGTGTGCTGATGATAATGTAAAGAACAATACTTTTATATTTTTAGCTAAACAATAAACAGAAAGAGGACTATTGTAACTGTGATATAATAAAAAAACACTAAAAGGCCCCCAAAAAATACATAGTTTAATTTCATTATGGAACAGTCAATAAACGATATTGTCTGTAAAGTGAAGAAAAATAAATATCAATTTAATGAACTGTATTCGTGTCCTTATTCGTGTGAATATTCCATTCGTTTGAAACTAAATAGAATCCTTTTGACACATTTTAATTTGAATTTAATCGGCTACAAGAGTCGTATGTATATGTTTGGCACACAGTAAGATAAGGGATATTTCTATTCATTACTCTGAAAGTATATGATGGTAATCGTCAACAGCTGATTAAGTGCACATAGTATAGATTGCAGCACATAGTAAGATAAGAAGGGATATTTCTTTTCATTGCTCTGTGAAAGTATATTGATGGTAATCAACAAGTGCATGCTTGAGTGGTGTCGCTCTAGCGGATGCTGCAGCAAAACATCATCTACCCATTTTTATTGCATTTAATTTCTCAAAATCATTTCAATGTTCCACTTTGAAACTTAACATACTTATGTAAAAGTTTTCACAGATTAAAACTTCGAAAAAATACCATTGTAAACTGTCGAGTTTTGAGAGAAATTTAAAAAATAAAAATAAAATAGGATCGCAAAATACTAAATTTCTGTCATAAATACAACCCAAGTTAAAATGATTAGTTTTAGCAATATCAGCATTTATACGAAAATTTTGAAAATTAATATTTTCTCAAAATGTTTCATATTTTTGCTTATACACTTCACAGAATAAGTTTAAAAATTGGGGACATCAAGGGGACAAATAACAAATGTGTATTAAAGAAGTGGCAGACACTGATAACATTAAGTAATTTGTTTATCTAGATTGTTCACTAATTATTTCATATATTTTTACTTGCAGTATAGTGTGTTTTGCTGGGTTTATCTGATGAAGTTAACTTTTTCAGCGTGTTTTTGTTGATAAAGAACCATTGCCTGCAACTCGTGTGAGGCCTATGGAGGGACTGCTCTACTGGCTGCTTGATAAAGATGCTGCTGCTCTTCTGAAAAAGGGTGAAGTGAATAATTCATAATAAAACTCTTTTCAACTTGACAAAATTACATAAAGGTTAGATGTGTAGAATTGTCAAACCTTATGAGACTGATTAACAGGGGTCACCATCTATATAATTACATTTCTTCAGATTCGTACAGAAAACAGTTGATGAGTAAATAAATGATGAGCGAGGTACTTCTGCCAGATTCAAATATTTTACACAGTATGGAAGATGTAGACAAAATGAAAAACCATATTGAATACTATAAAACAGGAATGTAGTAATTGTATGTTGAGAAAGGAAAATTAATATTGGTGTCTTTCCCTGCAAATGGAAATTGAAACCAATTAATAACTATGTAAAATGAGATTAATGTAAAATAAATACTTTTGCTTGATTTCACCACACTTCAGAGTGATATGGAGTGTTTAAATATTTAGTCTTCTGAAATTGTATGGCAGACAACTTTAGAGGCCATGTAAGGTGATTAGGAATCAAGATTTCAAATACTGGCAAGGAAAACGAAGTAGTGTCAAATTACATATATTTTTTTCATTTCCTGGGCTTTTTATATAAGTTATTTGGGGTTGTAACTTCATATAAGCAAATACATTTTGTTTATTGTTGTTGCTCAGAATGTAAATTTGATATTTTAATTAATAGTGTGCTATATTATCAACCTGTTAACGTCAATCTGTTAGCATGAATTCCTGGGTGGATTCAGTGGTCAAATAAATCATAATTTCATCTTTCATTAATTGGGTATTTATAACTATTGGAATGTTTTCATTAGTGGGAGGATGATTTGAAGAAATGTGTGATTACTAAAGTTGGGAAGATATTTATAGAAACTTCTTCCATATAGCTGTGGAGTTTCAACTCTTGCATACTGTGGTGTCTAAGGAGAGTTTTTAAAGGAAGTCTGTATACTGACTGGATTTTTTTGACATTCATATTCTGTTGTACAGAAGTTTTACTATGTCAAATGCTTGGGCATCTTGGACTAAAACGTTTGAAAATCCATCAGAAATGTACTGTGTAAAAGGTTAAGATTAGTTTGTTTTTGCTGTACATTCACTTTCAACTTAATTGTATGACTCGTTGAGATGTTTGCCCAAGTGTCAGCTTATGTTGCAGGCAGAGTATATGTCAAAGCTTTAATGCAATTTGTCGTTGCATACAAGAGGCGAGAATAAATCAGTCAGCTGATCAACATGACAGAAAATTATTGTTGTCCAGCTTCATATTATGAATCCCCGAGAATTACACTTCAAACGGCTTCAAGAACTGTGTTTCAAACTGGAAATAAAATGGAAAAAGTAGGATGGATGTTTTGTGCACTTAGTCTCAGTTTTTTAGAATTGTTATAAAGATTTTGGAGCCTAAATAATATTCCTGTACTGATAACATTATAGAAGTTGTATAAAAAGCATTACTTTGGTATAAGGAATACTATTTGCAAGCAGTGTTTGCTACGAAATCTTATATTATATTTTTTTATCTCATATTTTCAACACAATATTTAGACCTCTTAGCAGGTTGCATGGCTGTACATTTGGCCTTTTGGAATGGATGCAAACTCTGTACAATTCATATGTCAAACTTTATGAAACATCTCATTTAGAGCATAAATTGAAAAACAAAGTTGTTCTACTTACTGTTAGATTTGTAAGAAAAAGTTAACTCTAGAAAATGGTTTTTCCTTTTATGTTTTGGAATGTTTTGCGATGTTCTTTCTGAAATAGTTCACTTTTTCCTCTTGAGTATTTTAGGTTTTTTTTATGTTGTGCTACATAATATTGTTATTCAAAAGTCTTGTTAAAAGTGAATGATACAGAATTTTTGATAGTAGCCATGATTATCATTTCCGAAAAAAATATTTCTTCTGTGCAGGTTTTCATGAAGAATAACCATTATGAAAAAATAATTTTGTAATCAAACATTAGTTTTGTCACCTTAGAGATTTGTGTTTGTTGAATAATGCCTGTATATGTGGGACTAACTTTCCTCCTGGTTTTTAGATATATGTATACCCTGAATCTTTCATTGTTCGACTTTTGAATCTCTACCTTTTTATCTTAATTTTTAATGTGTTAAAAATTGTCATTAAATGCCCTAGCCGAATAAGATGCTAAAAAGACCCCTGCTTGAAATTGAAAATAATTTTTTTTCTAAACATTGTGGCCACGAAAAATAATATTTTCATAAAAATGTGTTCTCTTTGTTTTATTTTTTTTCATTGATTTGGCTGCATGAATTTCAAGTTAGATATAACCGCATCACATCGAAAACAATTTTTTTAGTTATTTTTAATTACTTGAAAGGTTCAAAAAATTATCAATTTTAGAGAACTGATTGTAATTTAAGTGAGAATTTCTTGAGAAATTTAGGTGTAATGGTGTACACTAACATAAATACCTAAATACAAAACAGTATAAAATAAATATAAATATATATATATATA